AAAAAAGTTCATGTTCTTCAGCTGAAGGACACCTCATACTTCAGCGATCACTTAGTAAACCAACCTTGCTCAAAGGAAAGAAAAGCCACATGACAACATGCAGTACCCAGTGATGTTTGATTAATCTGAACAGTGATTCTAAGTTGCCGAGGAATTTCCTGCTATGAGCTCCATCTGTGGGGATGATCATGTTACAAAGTAGGTACTTACCTATTTTGCTCTGAAAGCAATATGCTTATATCCTTCTTCCCAAGAGTATGATTAGGACGGTGACCTAGTACAGACAATTTAAACATTCTGATCAGTCACACAACATGCACAACCAAATTATATTTCAGCTTGAAGAAGAAAATACGTTTCTGTCTCCGGAGCCTAAATGTAAGGTCAAACGAGCTTAAAGGACAATGAGCTTCAAGCAATAACATGATGGTAAGCTATGCCTGAATCAGAGGCAATTTTCTCTCCACTGTGTTTACGCAGAGACTGCCACTCAAGGACCTCAAAATACATTTGCTGAATTGCTAAGCCAGAGTTTCAGCCATTAAAAGAGAGAGAGAAAAAAAAAGAGGTTAAGACGACCATGTTTTTCAAAGTAGATAAGTGTTGATTCTACCCATTCTAAACCCCTAGGTATATATAAATAACAGTGCCAGGTTTGAATGTTGAATAGCTTTGAATGCCTGAATTGTGTATATGCAGGGGAAGAGGGCTAATGTGATTGGTAGCTGAATGATGGAATCTTGAGTGCAGGGCTGAGTATTGATTGGTTGGTGTGATCAGAATGCAGTAGGAAGGAGTCTGGTCTGGGTGTCAGTCAACAGAAGAGTCTGATTTTAGAGTTTGGTCTCCTTATAGAGAGATAGAAGTGTGTTTTAGAGTCAGACTGCAATTCCATGGTTAAATGCAATGGAATTTACTGTGGGTTTTGCTGAGAGTGTAAAATGGATGAAGTCTCTCTTTTTTCTTTGACTGATCACATGATACAGAGGCCACTTTGAATTGACTGGCCCTTTTTTACTCCTGATATGGAGGACCTTTTTTTCTCGGCTATTGGAGGGCTTCCAATTTTTTCAAGGCAGAATGATTCAATGGACTTTTCCCCAGGTGATTTGTTGTTTCATTCTCTAAAAGAATAGGAGGACAAGATTGTGGATGGTCTTCTGGTGTCGTAGTAACTTGCTATGATGTTTTGGACAACAGGAACACCCATCTCCACACTTTTTCTCCCTAGCCCCCCCCCAAAGTATTTTTTTTAAAAAAAAAACTGTCAAATTTAATACTAGATCACCATATCACTACATGGACATACTAGTTTAGCACTATATCACTTCTACCCAGAAAAAAGATATAAAAATCAATATGAAATATCAACAATTCTAACAAACTACAGTGGATGACTATGTATCTGTTTGCATGTTATGCGGAACTTGGGAAAACTGTGAATTGACTGGCCCTTTTTTACTCCTGATATGGAGGACCTTTTTTCTCGGCTATTGGGGGGCTTCTAATTTTTTCAAGGCAGAATGATTCAATGGACTTTTCCCCAGGTGATTTGTTGTTTCATTCTCTAAAAGAATAGGAGGACAAGATTGTGGATGGTCTTCTGGTGTCGTAGTAACTTGCTATGATGTTTTGGACAACAGGAACACCCATCTCCACACTTTTTCTCCCTAGCCCCCCCCCAAAGTATTTTTTTTAAAAAAAAAACTGTCAAATTTAATACTAGATCACCATATCACTACATGGACATACTAGTTTAGCACTATATCACTTCTACCCAGAAAAAAGATATAAAAATCAATATGAAATATCAACAATTCTAACAAACTACAGTGGATGACTATGTATCTGTTTGCATGTTATGCGGAACTTGGGAAAACTGTCCCTTTTCCTTAGCACCATGCAACACTTTAAATAGCTGACTGACTTTAGAATGAACTGTGAAAGGGAGCTGAGGATCCACAGAGGGTGGAATCAAAGGAAGGAGAGTTGTGGCATGGATGAAACCACAGTAGATGGAGCCTGACAGAAGCCTATTTTGGCATTCGCATTATCCACTAGGAAAACTGGAGCATATTTGTACAACTCAACTAGATTAGGTAGGGCCTGGTCAAATTTGGACAACACTGAGTTGCTTTCATATCTTGAATGATGGTGGGGGACAATGCACATTTATTAGGAAACAAAATGTAAAATCTGGCAGCCAAATCACCCAAAGAATTAGGATGTTCCTGCTAAGAACCATAACCAACTGCAAAATATTTGGGTTCTCATCAACTGAGATCAAAATGTCTAGGCCTCCCCATGCAGGACTTCTAGTGTGCTGCTGGGTAAGGAATAAACAGTGTACCTGAGGGAAGAGGAGAAAGAACCCTAGAAGTTGCCCGGGTTTCTTCGATAAAGAGAATTTCAAGTTGGGAACAAAAGTCTTTAAAGTTCTTATCTTCCAATTTGGAAGGCCATCCTGCAACATTCTAGAATTTTGATAAGGCATTTGTTGGGACATGGAGAAGAAGGTCATCTTGACGCCTTCCAGGAATGCCACGAGTATAGCTGGCAGAGCTGATCTCTACAGATTTAGCTCCATTTTCCTTCCACCATTTTCCTTCCAACTGCATCATGTAGCTGTAAAGGTGACTGCTCTTGACATACAAGATCTAAGGCTAAGAGGTTGGTGCAGTTTTGTGCTGCATGCCACAGCGCTAGGAGTAAAGTCATGACAGTAGCCTTATCTCTCAGCTTGAAAGTTACATTAACTTCAGTTATCACATTTTGTACTTTCTTTTAAGAAACACAAACGGTGTGAGATTCGCTTCTCCGGCAGACATAGGCTTAGCAAGTCCTACTGGGCAGACAGGGCTATCAAGTAGCAATGATCCCTATGATTCTGTTACGGCTTGTTTACATGCCAAGTCAGCCTCTAATGAGAGTTCTGCAAAAAGGACCCTGTGACACTTGTTTTAGAGCTGACTAGAGAACCTCTGACTAGAATCAAGGGCATATTCTTTGAAGTCTATATACTGTTGCCGGTTGCAGAGAAAGCAAAATATATGTCCTGGAGGGTGGGAGTTGACTTAATCCTCCAGCATTTGAAGCAAGGGTAGGGTTCATGGCCTTCTTCTCTATTTTTAAAACATTGGTCTTCTAGGTTTTATAACAGAAGGCTACTCTCCCCTGAGAGTATAAAAACATACTGAGGATATATGAAATATCTGCAAAAAGATAATGACAGCCCTTGCTTAATGCCAAAGCTCCCTGGATGTTCCACTGAATATGGAATTATAATGTTAGCATACAAACTGGAATACAATCATTTTTCCCATCCTTACAGAAACCCATTTTATAAATGGGATCACTAAGAACTCAATTAGATGGGCATTTGCCCTGCTGTTTGGTCCGCTGTGGGGACAGTTTGTGTCACTGTTTTTTTCTGACAAACGCACAACATAATTGCTGGAGTGAATCAAACCATCTTCAGAGCAGTCCTACCCACAGCTTTTTAAGCCCCTGTTGGGGGGACTTTATTTTTTTTATTTTTTTTTATTTTGAATGGATAAGATCACTCTGGTTTGATCTGTTTTCAGCATGTTTGATCACTGGGAACGAATCAAAAGCAAGCCTTCTTGGCTCTCAAACTTCATTCTGGTTTGATTTTCCAACATTTTGAAGTTACTTAACAAGCAAACCACTTCAGGATATTCTTCTGCTTCTCAGCAGAGAGACAAGGGAAGTGATTAAAAAAATAGACTCCAATAGATTATTGTTGATATGCTGCATCACTGAAAAAAATATATTTGGATTCTTTTAAAAGAACTGCCAAAGCTCAGTGGATTCAATTGCAGGCAGTTTCTTGAATGCTCCTTTAAATATATATAGTTTTTTTCCTCTTTTAAAAAAAAGTGATGCAGCACATCAGCAATAGTCTATTAGTCTTTTTTTTAATGCACTTCCCCTGCCCCTTCAATTTGTTGATATCCTGAAGTGGCTCTCTTATTAATCCACTTCACAATATCAGAAGGAGCCAGAGCAAATAAAGTTGTTTCAGCTCCAATATGCCATTTAGATGTGAGGATCACACCTACCGGCATATGGTGTCTTCACCCAACCCTAAGCAACTCTATTTCAATGGCATTAGCTTGCTCCAAAACAGCAAGCATAGACGAGCCCTCTATCTAGTAGTTTCATATACTTTAACCAAGGAATGGAGCTAACTGTAGGGCAAGATGATCTTTTGAGGCTATCTGAATAGCCTCAATAGCACTGACTGTTTTTACTATTGACAAAAAGAAAGGGAGACCATGAATATACTGAAGCTTTTATACAGGACCAAAGGCAGAACCTTACCAAAAAATAACAACACCAAGCCCATTAGATCACATTAATGAAAAGGTTGTAGTGTTTGCAGTTGAAACTAATGGGATCTAATAATGCTTAACTCTAAGTGGATTGTGCTTTGTCTATCTGTTTCAATATGAGTTTATTAACTGCTACTAAGATATTGAAAATAAAAGTATTATATACTTTGAAGTGGCCTACATGTGAGATCAAGAAATTCTGTGCTTACTTTTTATGCTTGTTCACCACCAAATGCTTCTGTACAACCTGTAAATGAAGTAAAACATGTATTCATCTTAAATGTATTAGAAGTATTGATTTAGTGCTTCTCAGCTGATGATAATTCTAAAAGAAATTATGATTTATACCGTGCTTGGCAAAATGTTGTATTGTTATGTACAGTATATACTTCTTATTTTGTATTTTTGGTCTGGGTCGGATTTGTCTGTTCTTTGTATGTTTATTTTACTGTTAGAAACTGCCCAGGACAGCGGCAAGCCCACTAGATGGTGTGGTATAAAATATCATAAATAAATGAATAACAAATAAAATTTGAGCAAAGGGGTGGAAGCAGAACAGCTCATTTTTACCCTAACTGTTAGGAATGGGTCAGATGAAACAAAAAAAAATCCTGTTTCTCAGCTGTGAAGGCCTAGCAGTTTACTCTTGTCCTAAAAAGAAGAAATGTCTCATTTCTCCATCAATCTAGATATTTTTCATTTCTCAAGTGAGTGGACTCCAGCTCAGAGACGTCCTCCTTCCACCCATGAAAATCGCATGCACATCATGCAGCCTCTCCATTAGAGAATGGGATGCTAGATATTTTTCATTTCTCAAGTGAGTGGGCTCAGAGACGTTCTCCTTCCACCCATGAAAATCGCATGTGCATCATGCAGCCTCTCCGTTAGAGAATGGGATAAGAAGTACATTGCAGAACCACATGAAAGAAACAGGACAATAATGAAAAGCTTGGCTTTACATGGATGCTGTCCCTCGGCTGGTTGATTCTTCAAAGCCACCTCTACATCGCCTTGATATATGCCTATTTTTAAATTTGTGCCTGCTGGGATAGCATGGATGGATTGGTAAAGATGGCTTTTATAGGAGAGAATGCTTATCCCTTTCCAGTTTTACATACACACACACACACACATACACAAACCAAGCTGTTTTTCCATCAGCCAAGGTCACTTCCAGTTTTGTAGTATGCCTAGATACAAAACAATAAAAAGCTGGAGCTGGTGAAGCATTTTGCAAGGTTGAGTTGGCAGATGACTAAGCTCTCCCCCTCTACCTGCTAGTTCTGTATACACACTCTTGCCCTTTATTTACCTTATATAAAAATCATGTTTTCTGCAAAATGTATAGCTCCTGCTTTGATTTCAGGAAAATGTACACACAGACACCAAACTGTAGCCCCAAAGGCTGCTTTCTGCCACATTTCTGCAAAGAACAGAACAGAACACTCTCTCAGCCATTGTGTCAATGGTTTTTGTAAATACTGTAATGAAAGATTAGAGCTCAGCTGAGCTATGATAACTAAAGAACACATCCATGTTCAAAAGATGAATAATGTCAGTGCAAGGTTGCTCATTCTGTCACAGTGTTTTGGCTGCACTGGCGAAAGGGAGGAGTCTGGCAGTAAAATAACAAGACATCATGAGGTTAGTCCAGTCCTTGGGGACTGTATAATGAAACTCATTGAGTAGCTTCGGAGAGATCATTCCTTAGTAAAAACTAAACTGATTTTTAAAGTTCCAGATCTAGACATGGACACTTTGTATTTGTATCCCTGAGGATATGAATACAAAGCATGGCACCAGAAGTGCCATGGAGCTCCACCCCCTCCCCTAAGAATGGGCCAGTCCACTCACTGGTTGCCACGGAGCGCATCTGCCCATCATTGTCAACACTGCGCCAATCATAGAAGTAGCCCAGCTGGCGCTTCCCCGAATCCCTGAACAACTGACCACTCTGGCGAGGAGGCGGGATAAGGGTCTCCCTGCTCACCTGTTGAGCAATCGGCTATGAGGGAAGGTGGGGAAGCACCAAGCGAGCTACTTCCACGATTGGCGTGATGTCGATGATGGAAGTGCATGTTGAGCGGTGACCAGTGAGTGGACTGGCCAGTTCTGGGGGAGGGAATGAATCTCTGTGGCACTTGTGGTGCCACGCGTCATATTCGTATCCTCACAAATACAAAGTGACCATGTCTATTCAAATCCACCCATGTCAATATCATGTCTTGCAGAACTAAACAGCAAGAGGTACCGTTTGTATCTTGGTGATGGCAAGACCCAGTGTGTTGTAGCAGTTAGGTTGTTAGTCTGGGATGTGGAGAGATCCAGCTTCAAATCACCTCAACCCTGGAAAATTCACTAGGTGACTTTGGACCAGTCACTCCCTCTCAAATTGACCTACTTCCCATTTTTCACTTGCACTTTCCATGCCTCCATCTCCTCTCCAGGAGTGGTCCAGCCGGACCACAAGAGAAGGTAACCTGGGGGACATTTTCCTTGCTAATTGCCAACTATTCATTCTGTTCCCCTCCTCAGGTCTGTGTGTGGCTGTGCCGAGGAAGAACTCTGACCACCCCCTTGTTGAATACCTTTCTCCCAACAACCTCACAGCCCTTACTCTTGACCCCTTCCACTTTCTGGAATCAGAATACAGCCCCCTCGAGCGCTCCCACAGCACATACCTGCCCAGCCTTTGGAGTTATTCTACTCTGCATTGATAACTCCCTCATCCTGAAGCAAGTACAGTATGTTTTATTTAGTCAGTGATTTGCTTTATTCATCCACTGTGTGTCATTTATTAAGCTCTGCCATAATATTTGCTTTTCTCTGTTGCAGTCTATGAGTATATTTTGATTCTGATGCATTTGTTAAAATTCCCCTTTCAAAATTGCCCTGCCCAGATGTACTACTTCCAGAGTTTTAAAATCCCTTATAAGAATGTATGCTCGGATCATGCATAAGGTCATACACATGTCCATACAGTATAACCAGTAACCCTTACTTGTAAGTTGTTACTTCCAAGTTTTGATCAAAACCACTGTCTTTGTGCACATACACATTCAGGAGCATCTCTGATGCTGGAGCAGGAAGGAGAGAAGAATGTTTTAATGTCTTCAGGGGACCTGGATTCAGCTTAGTAAAGGGGAACCCTAACCTATCAAATTGAAAGGTAAAGAAAATCGCTCAAAGTGTCCAGATGTGCTTTTCCATGACAGTGTTTACATAAGCTGGAAAATGTGTCCTCAAGATCATCTCAAGGCACCATGATTATCTATCTTTGGGTAGAGTGGGCGGCATAAAAGTTAAATAAATAAATAAATCATGAGTCACTATCCACAACTAGAATTAATAACCTCCCCACAAAATGGCTTCCATTCCTACTGTTGGCCATTGGCTAAATTTTCTGGTGTGTTGAAGCACACAGTGCTGGACTAGATTTTCTTTCTCAGCTTGACATTTGGGAAGTGAATTCCTATGCCTTTCTCTCTTGCACACTCCTTTTCCTCTGGTTTGGTTTTAATTACTGGCTTCAGTAAATTTAGCCTCTTGTTTCTTCCACGTCCCCACTCTCTCCTTACCAGCCTTTCCCCTCATTTCCCCTCATTCGGTGAAGCCAAGAGGTTGGATGGCTGCCTCTGCAGAAAGACAGTTATGACTAAACCACTTCAAATAGAAATGCTGGGACCTCACCAAGTGGAAAGACTCTGTGGGTCTGGCCCAGTGGAGGTTGGACAGGACAGGAGAAATCTTCTCCATCCAATGCAGATGGGAAGGGGGGGAAACCTATTAAATGCTGCCGCTTCTTAAGTGATTAGCCGTGTCGGGATGCTACACTGCCAAGAGAGCTGCCAGTGTGGAAGTGAGAATTGAGGGAAGATAAGTTACAGCAGCCTGAAAAGACACAAGACAAATCCTGACCAAAAAGCTTAGAGCCCGACCAGGTCAGAGAAAACCCAGAGAGTAGCTGTTTAATATCTATATGAGGTCGCTGGGTGAGGTCATCAGGGGGTGTGGGGCATCGTGCCATCAGTATACTGATGACACACAGCTCTTCATCTCCTTTTCTCCAACCACAGTGGATGACATTCTGTCCCTTCAGCGCTGCTTGGAGGCTGTACTGCAATGGAGGCAGGAAAAAGGGTTAAGGCTGAACCCAGACAAGACGGAGGTCCTTAGGGTGGGCGGTCCCACCATCGGCGGTTTGGGAAACTCTCTCTCTTTGGGGGGGGGGTGACTCTTACTGCAAAGAGTGAGATTTGCAGCTTGGGGATACATCTGGATCTGGCGCTCACCATGGAAACTCAGGTGGCGTCAGTGGTCCATTCTGCATATTTCCATCTTTGGCTGATTGCCCAGCTACGTCCCTATCTTGATGTTGGGGTCCTCACCACTCTGGTCCACGCACTTGTAATCTCAAGATTAGACACTGTAATGTGCTCTACGTGGGCCTACCTTTGAGACTGATGCGGAAGCTCCAAATGGTGCAGAATGCGGCGGCCAGACTTTTCAGGGGAGTGAGGACACACCAACATATCGCTCCCACCCTGGCTGCCTTGCATTGGTTGCCCGTACGCTTCCGCGTTGATTTCAAAGTTTTAATGATCGCATACAAAGCCCTAAACAGTTTAGGACCTCAATACTTGGCAGAACGCTTTCTCCCACCTAGATCTACCTGTACCACTCGATCCAGTCAGGAGGGGCGACTGAGGAGCCTAAAGCCGAGGGAGGTCCGGAAAGAAAAAAGCAAGACACCGGGCCTTCTTGGCAGTGGCTCCTTCTCTTTGGAACAATATCCCCTCCGAGATCCATTTGGCCCCCTCGCTGGACATTTTTAAAAACCAGCTTAAGACCTGGTTCTTCAGACAGGCCTTCCCTCCAGGCCCTACTTATTTTTCCTCCCATCTTGAACTATGGTTATCATTATATATTGCTGTAAAATTGTTATTATATATTAACTGTTTTTATCTTGCCTGTTATGAGCCGCCCAGAATAGACAATGTCTAGATGAGCAGCATATAAGTGCAATCAATCAATCGATGAATGAATGAATGAATGAATGAATGAATGAATGAATGAATGAATAAATAAATAAATAAATAAATAAATAAATAAATAAATAAATAAATAAATAAATAAATAAATGAACGAACGAACTAACGAACAAACAAACAAACAAACAAACAAATAAATGGAGCTGTAATGCTGCAAAGGACTACAACTGAGTCCATCTCTCTGCCAAAGCAGGAAATGCAGTAAGATCCATCATGTCAGATTTTGCAAATATCTTCCTTTTTTCTTTTCTCTTCTGTTTTTTTTACTATGAGTCCCATAAACCCCCAGGCAGCGTTCATTGTTATGAGTTAATTGCTTCGCATACACTGTTTGCACAGAAACAGTGTAGGTGCCTCTGCAAAAGGATTTCCGTGAGCAGATTTCAACTGTTTGCAAAAAGACAATGTGTTCTGAATATTACAGTATTTACCCAGTTCTTCTATTTGCATTTCTATGAAAGTCTGTGAAACAGTAGATGGCTTCACTCATTCATACTAAACCGCACGTTTCTCACCTATGATAGTTCAAAGCATTGATTGCATGTTTTGCGTTGTATATTTTCAATTCTGTAAGGGTTAGAGACTTTTACTTACTTACTTACTTACTTACTTACTTACTTACTTACTTACTTACTTACTTACTTACTTACTTACTTACTTACTTACTTACTTACTTACTTACTTACTTACTTACTTACTTACTTACTTACTTACTTACTTACTTACTTACTTACTTACTTACTTACTTACTTACTTACTTACTTACTTACTTACTTACTTACTTACTTACTTACTTACTTACTTACTTACTTACTTACTTACTTACTTACTTACTTACTTACTTACTTACTTACTTACTTACTTACTTACTTACTTACTTACTTACTTACTTAGTCCTTCACAAATGAAAGCTTGGAGTCCAGGCCCAGTGATGGTCCAAATGGGAAGCAGGTGGTTCCTCTAAAATCTGGGGGAAATCCACTGAAACAGGCAATATGGCAAGTCTATTCAAAGGAATCCTGTGTGTAACTTCTGGAGACAAATTGCAGACAAACCAAACCAGTCCTTGGGGTAAGAAAAGTTCCCGGTTCCAGAACTGGCTCAAACTTCTGTTTCGAGCCTCCTCGACGGCTACCTTGCTCTGCTGGAGAAAGCAAACCAACTGCCATGTTATCTTCTTCCTAGGGGCCACCACTAATACAATACCTCACACACATCCACAAAAAAAGGGTCCTGCTTTTGAAACTGTTGGAAGGCCTCAATCCCTCCTTGGTCAGGGTGGAGACCACTCAAGACGTGAATCCTACAAACTTTTGGGAAACAAACAAGAGGAGAATAAAGAGGAAGGCCACAAGAACATTTACAAAGATGCTGCTGCTAATATTTACCTGCCCCAGAGGAGAAAGGGAATGAGCTGCCTTGGGTTCTTTTTAAGGAGAAAGGCAGGAGAATGAATGAATGAATGAATGAATGAATGAATGAATACACGCACGCACGCACGCACGCACGCACGCACGCACGCACGCACGCACGCACGCACGCACGTACGTACGTACGTACATACATACATACATACATACATACATACATACATACAAGCTGGTGTCTTACTGCCTTAGAGGGATCTGGAAGTTCCTGGGGTGGATCAGAAACCAGGCCCACCTTCTTCAGGGAACTTGCTCCATAAATGCACATGGAGAGTCAAACCTGTTTCTACAAAGCAACCAGAGGTTGCATTTGTTCCCCTGCAGACAAAGGTAATGTTGGGGGAACTTAAGGTAAGCAAGCCTTGTTTGGAGGGTGCCTGTGAACTCCAGATGATGGGCCACTTAGTCTTTTGTCAGAGCCGAGGAACGAAGAGGTAGAGCCTGAGAACACAGTGGAACCAGACATGCCACGGTCATTCAAGGCAAGGCCCATCACAACGTTTTCTGTTAACGCTTCTGCCTCAGAAGGTTCAGTGACCAGTCTGAGCTTTTCTAGAGTCTCAGAACATTTTGCTTTAGTGGAAGAAGCTTTTGATTGACTTTCTAGTGTCTCACAACATGAGGCAGCTGCAAGGGACTCCTACATGGGGTACGCTGCTTGATCTGGCGGTCATTTTGTGTGAACCTCCTATGGCACACAAAACACCTCCAATCTGTGAACCTGATCCTTAGGAAGAAGAACGCTCTGCTTCAGAAAGCAAGGCCCTGCCTCCAAAGTCCCATCAGATCAGCCTATCTAGGATGAATCTGGTTGCCTGTTCTCACCCAGTCTGTATATGGCAGGCACCGAATTTAAACCTTCCATAGCATAACCTGATTCTGATGCAGCAGAGAAACAGTAACAGCTAGATAGTTCAGTGGCGTAGGTTTCTGGCTGTGGAGCCAGATGTTGGCAGTTTGATGGCCCACTGAGCCTCCTTGGCAGGGCTGGGCTCAATGATCCATAGGGTCTCTTCCAGCTCTGCAGTTCAGTTCTAAGGACACGTTTCTACCAGCATGGTAACAGAAGAAAAAGCCACAATTTGTAAATTAAAATTCAAATCAAATGTTAGAAGAACGTTTCCAAGGCTCAAGCCCAACTTACCTAACCCTTGGAATAGCAAGAATCCACAGCAGCTTTGCAAATCTCTCCTTAGCAGCACCTCTCTCTAATGGATTGTGTACTGGAATGCAGCATAATTCTCCTATAGGTCCAAAGCCTCCTCTACCCTTCTAAGTTAGGCTCAGCATATACAGAGGCCTCATTCACTGATACAAAGGCATCATAATGAGCTATTGGTGCAGGACGTTTGAAGGCAAGCCTGGTGTGGTCTGTTACACTAAAATATAGCTGAAATTCCAACCCGGAATCCAGAAAGGGCAAGGACGAAAAAAAAGACTCACATAACCAGTTGGAGGGAAGAGTTCTGCTATGCTCAGGTTTTGGAGAAAAAGTGGACTTCCGTGTGTGCTGTCGGTGGCTGAGCAAAGCCAAGAGGAAAAACAGAATGCCTAAGTCAGCGTACATCACTGTCTGTCGGTGGCTGAGCAAAGCCAAGAGGAACAGGAGGAAAAACAGAATGCCTATGTCAGCGTACATCACTGCCTTGCCTTAATTGTGCTTAGAAGTGACATGAAAGGTCTACTGGTACGTGTATGAAAGTTATTCCTCGGCACTTCAAATTGTGCTTAGAAGTGACATGAAAGGTCTCCTGTTACGTATGAAAGTTATTCCTTGGCACTTTTTTGTTTTGTGCATGTCCTCCAGGAGGCTGAAATGAAAGCTGTCAATGCCACAGCCTTGGCAACCCAGAACAGGGCTGACCCATGACACCTTTAGCACATCACAATACCTGGGCAGGCTGTATAATGCTCCTGCCCTTAGCACTCACTGGAAACATGGGAGGGGGTGAAGATCAACATCTACCCCACATAATGGGTTAGCACCTTCAATCCTAGCTTTCAAGTCAAAGTCCCGGTCCAACCCAGCAGAGCTCTCCAAGGCATCCTGCACCATGTCGAAGAGTTCTGGCGGGGACAGATGGCTGAGTGAGCTTGGCTACAAGCTGGGCCAAACCCTGGGTGAGGGGAGTTACTCCAAGGTACGAGTAGCCACCTCAACCAAATACAAAGGCCCACTTGCCATCAAAGTGGTAGACCGACGCCGGGCACCCCCTGACTTTGTACACAAGTTTCTCCCACGAGAGCTCTCAATCTTACGGGCCATTCGTCATCCCAACATAGTACGTGTCTTTGAGTTCATTGAAGTCTGCAATGGGAAACTTTACATTGTGATGGAGGCAGCTTCCACGGATCTGCTACAACTGGTGCAACAACTGGGGAAGCTCCCCTGCACCCCAGATGCCAGAGACATCTTTGCCCAAGTTGTGAGCGCGGTGCGCTACTTGCATGACCGGAATCTGGTACACCGGGACCTCAAGTGCGAGAACGTGTTGCTGACTGCCGAAGGCCACCGAGCAAAGCTGACCGACTTTGGCTTTGGCAGGGAGTCCCGTGGCTATCCAGACCTCAGCACTACTTACTGTGGATCTGCTGCTTACGCCTCTCCGGAGGTTTTGCTGGGCATTCCTTATGACCCCAAGAAGTATGATGTCTGGAGCCTGGGGGTAGTGCTTTATGTCATGGTTACGGGCTGCATGCCCTTTGATGACAGCCACATCCACACTATGCCTCGCCGCCAAAAGAAAGGAGTCTTCTACCCCGAAGGCCTCCCAGACTTGCCGGAACCTTGCAAATCTCTCATTGCGCAACTTCTTCAGTTCAGCCCAGCTTCACGACCAGGAGTAGGGCAGGTGGCCAAAAACAGCTGGCTGAAAGGTGGCATCTTAAGCAAAGAAGCCTCTACCAGATAGCTCTGCTCCAGGAGTGATCGAGGTGTCTGGCGGATGAAGAAGAGATCTAAACAGTATTGACCAGCATGGAGCTAGAGAACGGTCTGGGGCCACGAAGAGACAGGACAGCCATGCTGCAGCATTCAGAGGCAAAGCCATTGACTGCCACGGAAAGAAGACTCCAAATAGGAAGCTGAAAGGAGACCAGATTGAAATACTTTCATGACGGGCAGCCTGATGGGACAGGTAGAACACGCAGGACTTCAGCCCAGGCCCAAATCAGCAACGCAGCAGCTTGTGACGGACAACAAGAGCTGTCACCACCTTTCCCAAGAACCTAAACTGGTCAGTGTGGAGGGAGGCGTAATTCATGCAAAGTGTTTCCCGAAGTCTAACGCACCAATAAACCTGGAAGCTCCTTTCTGTGCCTTTTGTCTGTTCCGGATCAGTTTCCGTTTCCCATTATTAGATCCGTGTGACAACATCTCCTGTTCTATCCCGGGAGAACATACAGTACGTGCCTGAGTTTCTTTTGTTCGGAAAAGGTATGTTCTCTTTGAGAATCCTGTGAGACAGTGGCTACAGCGCAGTGGACTTGGGTGGGAGAATTTCAGCTACGAAGGTGACTGAGTGCCCAGAGGGAGGGGAATGTAGCTCAATACATTGCTTAGAATAAGCCCACCCTTTCCCCAGCAGTTACTGCAAGACGATCAGGGCATGGAGAGTTGCTATTAAAAATGAACTCATTACAGTTATAACATAAAAGCCTAATAACATAGTTACCACATGGCTAGACAGGTCAGTGAGTTGGGTATCTGGCTGTGGAGCCAGAGTTTGGGAGTTCTGTTCTCCAGTGCATCTCATGGGAGCAGAGCCAAGCTGTGTAGCCTTGGGCAAACTGCAAAGTCCCGGAGAACCTCAGAAGAAAGGAAGAGCAAACTATTTCTGAGTCATCGCTCCCTAACAAAAACCTGGAAAGCATCACCATAAGACACAATCTACCTGATGGCACAATTCTCGTTATCATTTTAACATAGTCACTACATTAGTTTAGTTTTTTTTTTAAAGCAGATCTTTGTATCCATGTTTTGTGAAAAATAATTTAAATAGTTAGGTCTAATCATGTTTACAAGCCAAACTAATATTACCGACGTACCCACGGAAAGCACTGGCCCACAATCTACAAAAGAAATTCTAATTTTGGAGGCCCAGATCCATTTTTTTAATAAAGTTTGTTTCTGAACAGGATTTTATGAAGATTAACACAGGCTGAAGTCTCCTGATAGAACAGTACCCCACTGGAAGACTGTATGATGTCTAATCTTGGAACAACCAACCTTTAAAGTCTATCAGTTTATCAATATTATATGTATTGGAAGCCTTGTGTTATCACACATATGTGTATATACTACATTCATATTTTTGTATTCCCAGTGTGTTGTGTGTGTGTTTCATATGCACCTTGCACTGCACCTGCGCTCAGATAGACTATTAGGTATCTTTGTAAGACTTACTGTCTTTCTTTTACAAAATTATTCGGTATCTTTTTCTCCAACGATGGATGTATTTTCTAAATTTGAACACACAGCCGTGTGCAATCATTTTGTATTTGCAACACAGCTTGCCTTGTAACACTTATATGGAAGCCATTTTTTAAAGGACTATATATAGTTAAGGATCATGACAACCTTGTTTTCAGATTGTGCTTGATTACACAAGTTGACTTTGCTTCTTCTTTCAATTTCTTATAATGGTCAACATTATATTGGTGTTTTGCAACTCATTGTGGCTAGCTGACATTTGTGGCTAGCTGACGGGCTGGGTCTCAGCTGCATTCCTGGTCATATGCCCAACTGTGCCCTGACACCTTGTCAATTAGCTGCACTTCGCTGCAGCAAGTTACACAAACCTTACGTGAACACCAACAGGATTCCCGTCAACAGGTTTCATTTTAAAATGCTGCTTATCTGAAGACTAAGGACAACTCCATGTAATGTGAATATAATCCAGCTAAAATGAGCAAAGTGTCCCATTGATCAGTGGCAAGCAGGAACCTTTTTCTGAAATCTCTTCCCCAGGAATTAATAGAACTTTACAATATTCCCAACTGGCAGAGCTACGACCTGTCTTTTTAGATGTGCAATGAAGACTTGCACATCTAATTCTGTAGCTAAAACTGAAGGGGCTGTGTCATGCATACATTTCTGAGCACATTAATCAGACAGATGTGATCCAGGAACCAAGATTCTTCTAAGCTTCTTCTCAAGTAACTGTGTCAAGTCTTGAATTTGCTGCAGAATAAATGTGTGATATGGCCTAGTGGGGAGTGGGGGAGAATAGGTATAGGAGAAGAATTTCAACCTGCAGAATCTATATACGGTAATGGTTGGCATTTCAGGCATTGCGTATGCAAAGTGGGATACAAATGTAGCAAAGAAATAAAATCCTCGGTAGAGGGTGAGGAACAACACCATACAGTATATGAGAATAGTGTACTGAAAGGCATTGATGAGAGGAATAACTCAGAAGCTCCTGCTTTGTACCTCTGCCTCTAAAACGTACATGGGCATCATGGACACAACCCAAGCAAGACAGACCTCTGTAATTATATCCAATGATCTCCTGGCGTGATTCATGATCCAAGCAGGAAGCGTCTCATCCTAAAATCCCTCCTTCCTCTGCTGAGTCCACAAGCTACCTATGGTGGCCTCAGACCACAACTACTGTATTTTAAATTTTGACTGGGAAACTGCATATAAAATATCTTCCTGTAAGTTTTATGTACACCATATTCACAGCAATCATTGAAGACACAGTTTAGGATTCCATGTAAGATTGAACCTGCCAGTTGTTTCATACAGTACAATAAATAACCACTGCAAAAGGATAATTTTCCCTGGTGTACTAGCAAATCAGAATCAAGAGTACGGTCCGGAAAATAATGGCTTGCATAAATTTTGATTTCTTTCTTAGCTAATTCTAGTCAGGCTGATCAGTTTCCTGGCCTTCCACATGAGCAAACTCAAATGTTAAAACAACAATCTTAATTTAAAACAAGTATTGTCGCTTTCATGAAATGGTTTCCCCAGTTCACTTTCTCAGATAAATCTGCACAAGGTACTAGTTCAGTTTTCCATACATATGGATGCTGTTTTTTTTTGTGGAACAGAAAAAAATTATGTTTGAAAATCTTCCTTTGGATAGATAATTCACCCAAATGCCACTCTTGTGGATGATTAGATGACTGGTTATTTGCGAGCCTGCTCAGAATTTTCTGCTTCCACTACAGGCAAACATCTACTTACCAAGGTCAGCAACACACATTTATTTACTCCTTTTGCCTACTGTTTTTCAGATGCTTTCTCTTTGTAACCTCATGGCATTATGCATGATTCTCCTTCCCCTTACAATAACCTTGTGAGGTAGGCAAGAATAGAAGTAGAACCTGGTCTGAAGTAATCCACTGAGACGACTGTCTGTGGATTTGGACCCAGCCTCACCCCATGTCTGAATCAGCACTCTAACCACTACACTTGCAAGTCAAAACAATTTCCAGCATATGCCAACTTGGGTCCTTTTGGGGAGAAAGTCGGGATACAAATATTTTGGATAAATAACATAAATAAATATACTATTTGCAAAGATTGCGAATTTCAGTCTCAGTTATAAAAGTTCTAGTTTTGAGGTTTAAATTGCAGGGGACCATTAAAAGATTTTCAGAACCATTATCTTCTTTATACAAATCTGCTCAGAAACTGAGAGTGGTTTTTACATCAAGAATCTGGCTTGCAATTGCAGAGGACAGGGCTTTTACAGTTGTGGCACTGTGACTTTTGAGCATGCGCCAAAGGGAGGATCATCACTCTTCATCTTTAGAGAGCAATGAAAATATGATAAAATACAAAGTCATAAATGCAAATCAACAAGAAAACTGTCAAAGTATCACCGTCAAGGCCAAATGTAACAAATATTCACTGGAATAAAATGCATTTTGCTTCCTACCAAAATGCATTCACTTGAGGAAGCCAAAATAATGCTTCAGATACAAAGAATTAGCCACTAAAATCAAGGAGAAAGGATAATACAATAGTATTCCTAAGTCCCTACCGAAAGGAAGGATGTGGACCAAACTTACCTGGAAGACAACCAAGCTCCACAGTTCGGAACAGGACTATTTATTAAGTGCTGGCTGGATTGCTCAGTGGTTTAGGTTTCTGACTGCAGAGCCAGAAGTTGGGAGTTCAGTTGCCCTCCTGGGAGAAGAGCCAGCCTGAGTAGCCTTGGGCAAGCTGCACAGTCCCAGGGCACCCCCCAGGAGAAGGGGATGGGAAACCACTTCTGAGTATTCTTCGCCTGGAAAACTGAACAGGACTATTTATTAAGTGCTGGCTGGATTGCTCAGTGGTTTAGGTTTCTGACTGCAGAGCCAGAAGTTGGGAGTTCAGTTGCCCTCCTGGGAGAAGAGCCAGCCTGAGTAGCCTTGGGCAAGCTGCACAGTCCCAGGGCACCCCCCAGGAGAAGGGGATGGGAAACCACTTCTGAGTATTCTTCACCTGGAAAACTCTGGAAAGAGTTGCCGTTAAGTCAGAATTGACTTGGCAGCCCATCATCATCATTGTTGCTGTTGTTAAGAACTGTAGTCCAAAGCCTCTGGAAAGCACATGACGGTGATGATGAGAATGATTCGTTAAGCAGGTGCACTCTGGCAAGATCCGATCTGAAATAAGAAATTAAGGACTGCTTAACGGATCCTGGCTTCCCAGGTGCGACTTCGTTTTGAGGAAGGCATATTATGTCTGTGCAATTCTGTTACCAAGGGACCTTTCAACTTCAAATTAGCTTCTTGAGTTCCAGAAAATCAGGACAAGAATTAATGCAGTTTGTAAAATTGCTCACTTTCATCTTTTTTTTCCCTCCAACTGAAAGATGCCTAGAGAATTTCTAATCTAGACCTAGGAGACTGGATGTTTTCTCCATCTTCATATGGTTCTCATTGCTTGCCCTTGTTTTTTGTCTGAATTTTTCTCCACAGTAAGGCCAAAGTCAGCAGTATAGTCCACATGTATGTGCATATTGGAAATGTAGGGGTTATCTTCTTTTTTTCTTGTATAAACAATAACCTCTATATTGTCTTACACAGGCTTTATTTTCAAGAGTTTTGAACTTCTCTCTTAAAAATGCAATTTCCACAGTTTTAATTTTCTTTATTTTCAATATTCATCTTAAGAGTTAGATAATAGGCATCATGTTATTAGTGTACATCAGTTTGCCCTTTCAGTCCCTTTTCATATGGTCCTCTGTCCTGTAGTGAGGAGAGACCTCTTACAATCAAGACGACAAGAGGTTGAAAACAGAACATATCTAGAGGAGACACTAGAGGAAACACTGGTTTCTCATCCAGAAGACAAAAAGACTGTGT